TGTATCTGATCTGAAGATATGTCAATTGGGATGAGAGATAGTAAGAGATTGCAAGTGTTGTGTCCAGGGTAATTCATGTGTAGTGCTGTAAATCTGAATACATCACAGGACATTTAAATATTTCAAGATGACAAGGTAATAAAATGGCATTATCTTGATAAGGTAAATTGATACAGAAATTTTAAAGCTTGAATTCAAGATAAATAAGATACTAATTAATTTTGCTGATTCCCCCAAACATCAGCACAAAGGAATATTGAACTTGCATTGCATTTTTAAGTGTTCATCAAGGCAGGTGCAAATAAGTGGGGGAGGGGGCAGAGGCAAGAAGTGTGTACTCTTGCTGATTCACAGCTATCATATTAATGGCAGCAGATTTAGTCCAAGAAGGAAAAAAAAAAGAACCTGGGATGGTGCTGATTTCTACTCTAGTTTTTCCCCTGAGCTCCTTGCAGACTTGGTTTCTCTCTTCCTGGCAATACAAACAAACAATCCTGATTTAGGATGGTTTGCCTTAAAGTTTTTCAACTTAACTGTGGTGAGAAAATGCTAAGCATTCAGTAGATCCCGTCTGTTGAGCTTAGAATATGGAGCTGTGCCTGAGCTGGTCATACTTGCTCCCGTGCTCTCAAGATGCTGACAGACAACAGTGCATCACAGGGGGGACTTCCCTGCACCAAGGAAGCAGTTGACGCTTCCAGTGCTGTGTGCTGTGTCACTCAGCTACGATGTTCAATAGGTTATGGATCTACAATTCATTTTCACCTATGACATTTTCAGCAGCCAGAAGCATGTAGCAGGATATAACCATATGTGAAGTGAAGGAACAGGGTCATGTTACTGAACGGTCACTTAAATATTTGTTTTGAAATGATCATGTTAAACCATACGGATGGAAGGAGCTCTGGGCCACAGTCGAACAGAAATTTTAAAGATGTTTCTTCCATTCACTTTCCTCCTGCCTGCTGGTAAAGATGTGTTAGGACCCTGTTTTTAATTCCTGAATCCTTCAGCAGGCACTGAAGGGGTTTGCAGTTCTCACAGCCTCACACCACCTAACCTCCGCCCACCATCACCTGTGGGCCCCATAGCAAAGTCCAGCTTGGGCCTTCTGTACAGAGCACAGCCCAGCTTCCTGCTGCGAAATAACTACAGCCCGTGGCCCTGGGGGACTTTCTGCAGATCAGACTCATCTCTTCCAAGGTTATGCCCGCACAGAACCTCCCCTGTGGCCTCCATCCACGCACTTCCTGCTCCAGCTCCCTCCTGGGTCTGTGGCTACCATGGCTCACTCCATGCCACCACCTTGTGAGTAAGACACAGAGGAGAAGTCAAGTGTAAAGCAGCGAGTTTCCTGAAAGTGAAACTAGAATACTGACTTTCCCACTGCGGCCTTGTCAGGGAGCAGCTGCCATAGTTTTCGTTGGTTGAGTGCAAACTCAGGGCATTATGGGAAGAAGAACTACCATGTGCTCCACCACATATTCTACCCACCTGTATCTGTGGAGCAGTTCCTCTTTCCTCCTCTCCAGCAGCTCCTCCCAGGTATGTCCTCCAAGATCCCATATACTCACAGATAGACACCCATTTGTGTACAGTAACTGGATTGTTTCCACATCCCCAGAATTGCAGTGCCATTTGAGAAACCTTGTAGACACTTGGTAAAATGTTAGTTATGAGCTGTGGACACAATATAGCCCTTAGGTTTCAGCCTTTTGTGAGTTTGTTCTACAATTCTCCCCGCCCGCGCCCCCCCCCCCCCGCCTCTTTCTTCTTATTGGCCAAGTTGTATCCATTTAATGAAGTAATATACATCAGGACTGAGCACATAGATAGGCAAATGGAATCCTGAAAAACCCAGAGATCAGTCGCTTTGGTCCCCTGGTTTCCAACCAACAACAGCTGCCATGGTTGGCAGCAGCTGCCTGTTTAAGCCAGAATAAGTGCAGAGTTGCCTGCCCGGAGCCTACAACCAGCCAGCTTCCCGAGTGACGTCACCGGCAGTCCTGTGCTTACACAGCAGGAGAGCTCAGGAAAAGCCCTTTCCTCAGCTGCAGACCACATCCCAGTCAGCTGGACTGCTCTAAACTGGTCCACAGGACAGGTCCACCCAGGGAAGGCATCTCTCACAGTTACTGAGGCTGGAAGCCCAGCTTCAAGGTGTCAGCGTATTCAGTCCCTGGCTGCCTCCTCCCTGTGTGTTCACAAGGTGGACAGAGAAGGCACTCTGGTCCTTTCCTTTTCTTCTAAAGACACCAAACTTGTTGGGTTAAGGGGTCCCAACCGCACGTCCTCACCTAACCCTACTCACTTCCCAAAGACCCCAGCTTCCCGTACCATTGCATTGGGGATTTGCAGTCCAAAACATGAACATGACAAAGACGCATTCTGTCCCTAACAGAGTGGCTGGAGAAACGAAGCCCATCCTCCCTTTCTCTTTGCCCATCTAGGGGGATGAATTTACTTTGGTTTATAAAATCCCTGTTTCCAGCTGCAATCTCCTAATCCTCCATGCTCCAACACAACACATTCTCGTGTTTTGGGGTCCCCTGGCAAGGGAATCAGGACACAGGAGTTTCCTAGATTTTTCAGAACCTGTGTGCCTGACTTTGGGATTCTCATTCCTTACCTACCTCAACTTCCCTTTCTGTGAAATGGCAGAAGGGAACAAGAAACCCCATGGTTCTCTTTGCTTCCCATGCCCCGTGTCTCTCCACTTCTATTTCTGGGGAAACACATGGGATTTATGGGTGCCCTTCACCTGTGGGCTGAGGGATGGTGTCTCTCCCTCATGTAGGGGGAGCTTCTGTGGCTGAGAGGGCACCTGTCAGGTGTTGAGTCATAAGCCGGGGCAGGGCCAAAGCCAGCCACAGCAGAGTGGGCTGCCACAGCCCAGCGCCTGCCTCCCGTCTGCTCGCACAGCCCTGTGTCTCCTCAGCTGCTCTGAGAAATAAGAGAGGCCCTGTCCACCCTCCTGTCACAGCGCTCCGCCGTGCGCCGCCTGTGCCAGTGTTTTCTGCATCTAATGAAGGATTTATTTAGGTCACGGCTGCCTTCTGCGCCCAGCCACGCAGATGAAGTGCACAGAGAAGGAGCCTTGCTTCTCCTCCTTCTCTGGGCTGCTGCTACCCACACCTGGCTGCTTGGTACCTGTTCACAGGGCACTTTGCAAGGCCTTGCTTTGTGCTGTCCCCAAATAGAGAGCTGGATTGCTTCTGTGTATCTGTGTGTCACTGTCCTTTTGTTTCTTTTTGTCTTTTTTTTTTCCTTGAGCCCCTGGCTGGTTGAGTCACTGCAGCAGTTTGGATCGTGAACAAATGTGTTTGACTAATTATCATCCCTGGGACCCATTTATACCGTGCAGCATTTTTTTTTCTTTTCAGAGGCAAAAATAGTGGCTGGCGTTTGCAGGCTTGGCACCGGCCAGGCAATAAGGCAATATCCTGGCCACTCCATGTGTGCCATCTTATTTAACCTTCACTGCAAATACAGAGGGCCAGTGCCTCCCATCTCAGCCTCCGAAATTCAGAGGTTGTCTTGTACATTCTAAATGATAGAGCTGGGGTTTGAGTCAAGTTTCTGGCTCTAAATTCTCTGTTCATTCCAAGATCTGCCCTCGGTCCGTTCCAGTCTTGTTACCGGTTTGATCTTGTGAAACGGCCTCATTCCCATCCTGATTCCTTCTCTTTGCCATCTCCCATGATTATTTTTAATCCTGGACCTGAAAGCCAACTACCTCCACACAAGTAAGAAAACAAAGGGAGCACGCAGAACACTCCTCCCACAGGCCAGGTGGGCAGAATCTGGGCAGACATGCACATTCTAAGGCCCTTCATTCCTGGGACTGGAAGTGAGTAAGCCAACTCCGCCTGGTCCTGAGAACCAGTGCCTTAGGAATGCAGTACTCCAGGCTATCCCTCAAACACCCTGGACTAAAATCTGCCTCTCAAGGTTGCAAAGCACAGAACTCCTCCTTGCTCGCTTATCTGCCTCTAATCTTGTTCTTTAGGAGGACAAGCATTGCATGGGTAGGCTTCAAACTACCCTGCGGGGTGAGGTTGCATCTCTTATTTGTGCATTTAGTGTTTTGATTCTATCAGGGGACATTCACAGACTCCAAGATGGCGCTGAGATTTACAGCTCCATGTTCCTGCTCCTGTCGTGACCCATTGCTTCCATCCCTAGCTTGACAAGGTATCTCTTTCCTTCAGTTCTAGAGAGTGATATTTGTTACTGAGGTACTTTCAATATTTATTTTTGTAAATTTGGAAACTCTCAGCCTTTCAGAGGACGTAAGGCTGCCGAGAATGCTTGTTGGACGAGTTGCATTCCAAGAGTCTTAAGCTTTCCTCATGAGGAAAATAGGGCCAATTTCTTTTTCACCAGACAGCTGATATGGTCCAGGGAAACTTATTAACATTATGTGAACTGACCTCTGGTTCTTGGGACTCTATAAACTCTTTTTAATCCCATCCTACCTGACAGCTATGGCTACTATAAGTCCAGACAAAAGCTCATGTCAACCTTTCTTGAGAAGTGTCGTGTATAGGGAGCCAAAGTAGAGAAAATAAATATTTATGCTGGTCTGGAAATATCAGGGCCCTTCCACGGAGTGACAGTCAAAGCTCAATTTGTTTCCTATTTCTTACTTTCTGAGCTGCCAAAGATGGAAATTTAACACTTCAGCAACAGGTTATTAAGTCATTTTGTAGAGATGAAAGTGCAGACCTGCTTGGCTCTTAAAAAAGAAGAAATAACCTCATGCTTTTGATTGCCCAGAGGTTCAGTTGCATTAAAAAAGAAGAAGAAGAAGAAAGTTATGTTGTCCAACTATCTTATTTAGGTTTCAGTAAATTCTAGAAAATTCGATTATTTGATACCATGGAATGCTTGAACTGAGCAGTTCTTGCACAGTAACATATGAGATCTGGTACTTTCTGCTCTCTTATGTTGTTTTTGTACAAGCTCGGCCCGCTGTTTGGAATTCACTTCCCCCTGCCCACCGGGAACACAGACATGCAAAGGGAGAGATGAATGCCCAGAGCTTTGCAGATGGCCTTGGAATTTGAGCTATGACATTTCCTGATTCAGAGATCTTGAGCAGATCATTTACCCTAAATTGTAAGTTTCTAGTAAATGTCTGTATCTAGTGTGGGGAGAGGGGGAGGCAGGGCACTGATGTTTGTCATGTGTAGGGCCCTGTGCTGTGTACTTGGTACGAATAGCATTCAATCCAGATGGCTCCCCTGTGAAGTAGGTTTAAACCTGAGCTGAACATTGAACCCTCAAAGGTACCTGAAGACAGTTAGGTACAGGAATCCCACCTTGCATCTGTCTGATTGCAAACCCTTCTTTGCTTTCCAACTCTTCTTAGCCATGATTTCATTGCTTAGAAATATAAATAAATGAGAGAACACCTCCCTCTCCATCATGTGGTAAGTGTTAAAAGAGATGATCTATGTGCCAGTACTTACTGCCTGGCACATGATGGCACATGTCCAGCAGGCAGCCCCTTCCTCTGTATCTCTTTTCCTGAATCTTATCAAGTACTTGTGGGCCATGATTAGATCATCCCTATTGCCCTGGAGGAGATTCTGACCACACCAGCTATATTCTTCTTCCTGTTAATGGCCAGTTGTTCTGCAGACAAGGTGCTGCTAGCACACCTCTGTTGCTGATGCAAGCTTCTATTCATGAAATATTATTCTTACTTCATTTGGGTCCATGAATGTGTTCCAGTGTTAGGACTAAGAGCCTCTGTTACAGTCAAGGTCATAATGTGAATTACGTGACAAGAAGACTTCAGAAGAAAAATTTAAAAATATTTTGAAGGGTTATGTTACAGCTTCCTCCCCTCTGACATTTAAAATGTTTTCTAGATTCACAGATGTTTATGTCCTGTCACCATTAGACATACAGAAGCCCCTTGCAACATCTGGCTGATGCTTGACTCTCTAGAGATCGCTGGCAAAGCTACTACTATATGATACAGACTTTTAAAATTCCTCTGTTTGCTAAATGGAAATCCTTTCTCAGTAACCTTTAGACATTGGCCTAACCGTTGATTGTCCTTAACAAGTTGATGTAACAAATAGACAGCAGTCTCTATAATGTACCGGAAATCCTACCAGGCTCTGAGCCCAACAGCCAGAGAAGACCTGACAACAACCAAGAGGCTCAATAAGGTGCATTGTAGGGAGGGGCAAACAGTAGACAACCAAGGGATCTCCGAAAGTATTTGAGGACCATCAAATGGGTTGATGTGAATGAGAGGGTGTCTGTGTACTAGGGGAGATGTTTGGAAAAAAAACAAACCTGACCTGATCATCAAACAGCAGCCTCAGAAAACCTGGAGCACCCTAGCAACCTAGAAATGAGGAGTCATAAATTCCAAGGCCAAAGATGGGTGGGTTTGGGTGGGTTCTGGAGGACAGATAGGTGAGTGAGGCTTAAGCCCGGATGAAGGTGCAATGTGAAGCTGGAGGGGCCACTTTAGGGGACACCCCACGGCCCCCGATAGGAATGAATTTGGATTAAATTCTAAAGCAAGTCCCCTTGTGGATGTTTCTGGAGTCCCCTGCATGGTTCACCTGTGGTTTTATGTTCACATTGGGGCCTGCGGAAGCCTGGAGTCGCTGGTGCGAGGAGTTCATGTCCTTTGACTTCCTGAGCCCCGGGGTTTGGTTTGTCACTGCAGCGCCTAGAAAACAGCACAGAAATGGCTGTGTCTGCCCCTGGGAACTATTAATTGGCCTACAAGGAAGGAAGGTGCGTGTTTTGCTCATCCAAGCAAAGCTGAGTCTTCATAGAAATGCTATTGCTTATCCAAGAATCAGCACTAAGCATGAATATTTAACAGGGCTGAAGAACCAGACCAAGAGGCCCAGTTAGTAAGACTCATGCACACCCAGTTCTTGGTTAAGAATCAGACTGGTTGGCCCAGTAACTGTTTGTACACTAACTGTAGATCTTGCCAAGAAGTGAAATGGGAAACAAAGACCCGGGCTTTGCCTGCTCAGTGTTGGAATCCTTGCCCTGTCCCCCAGCTCTCTAGACAAAACCACTGCATTCATCCTGTAGTAGAGACCACTCTGGTGGAGTTGGCAGGAAGGATATCCCATGAATCAAAAAGTCATCCTTAGCCCAGAGCCTACACAGGGCCCATGACACAGACTAGAGAGGAGGTCGAAGGGATGGCCTCAGCTCCAGATGCTGTGGAGCATTCTAGATCCCTGCCCTTGACAGCTCCAAACTTCCAGACCATTCCATGTGTTCAGGATGACCTGGTTCATTCCTTGTGGGAGAAGAGTGAATTTATCTTCAGAGAGAATAATGGTTGTCTGTGCCTTCGGCAAGTTCAGACTCACCCTCCTGGTCCTCTTCCCGCTCAGGAAGGCCTCCTCTGTGGCTTAGTGCTCCACATGTGTTTTCCACCATAGCCTGGACAGGTGCTATAAAGATCCACACAGTGGATTTTTTTAGGCATGATACAAAAGGATGCATAGGATTGTGCATAGTGATTGCACGTTGCAACAGTGATATTTTGGATATATGTTGATCACACGAAATATGTTTGAAATGGCTCCTAGAAAATTTAAAAGGGCAGATCCAGCCTACAGTATATTTCTGTTGGACAACCCTGGCATATCATCTTATTTCCGTTTCAGTATAGTCATTGGGGCTGGTGGAAATGTGCCCATTTTACACCCTGAGAGGCAAAGACACACTGACCAAGGTCAAAGCTAGAAGCATGATGCCTTCACCCCATCTACTAAGCAGAACAGATGACTGGGTGTGACATCATCCTGGGTGTACCCCATGCATCAGCTGATTCTGAAGTTGGTGGCCAAGGAATTGTCCTTGCTGGCTCTATTCTGTTGTGTCTCTCTTCTTTGGGGACCTCTTCAGCACAATCCTTGTTTTATAGAAAGCAGTCATAGCAACCAAGGCTACAGGACTAGAATTCAGGATCCAAAATTTCCAAGTCCAGATTTGGAACTGTGGCTGTGGGAAGTCATCTCAAGCATCTTCACTGATAACATGAAAAGACAACATGACTCTCTTGGGCCGGAATTCCAAGCGTCATTCTGATGCTGAGATTCCCTTGTCAAGGTCAGTGTGGTGCTGATGGAGCTTCCAGCTCCATCTGAACTTGGGCATCTTTTCTGGCTATGCCTCTGGTGGGTCCAAATGATTGAGCCAGCAAAAGAAGTTGTCTCCTACTCGCTATTTTGTGTGCATACATATTCCATTGCATATTAGTGAATAGTAACATGGCCTATTTACTTAGATATGCATATGTGTATAAAATACATATACGCAGTCTATATACATGTGTAGCATATATGCAAATATACTTATATGCACATATATAACATGTGTAGCTAGAAATATATGTATATTTACTCTGGCATAAACACACACATATATATGTATACACACAGATAGATAGGATTTCAGCTAATTTTCCCCTGTAAAACTGAAATATATTTGGAATGCAAAAGGTCTAGACATAAGTGCATTCATTTTTAGAAAGTATTAAAGTAGAAACAAGGGGCTTTTAACTACTAACTGCCTTTTTTTTCATTTTCTTCTCTTTTTTTTTTTTTTTGTAAAAGCCAAACTATATTTTGGCTGTCTGCTGGTAATTTCCCCTTTAGAAGCCGTCTCAGAGGTATCCTGTACTACCCAGAAAACAGCATCAACTAGCCAGACTATCTAAACAGCAGATCTAGCTGGGTTATTGTTTTGTGGGTCTTCATGCAGAACTGTAAGAAGAAGTGATACTTAGTTTTAGGTGTTAGTACTTTACCTTTCCCCTGGACCATGAAATCATACGTACATGTGATAGACAAAGACACACGTGCATACACACACACACACACCACCACCACCACCACCACCACCAGGCCTATGTTTTTCTCTCCACATGATCATTTGAAAAGGAAATGAAATTTGACTGAAGCATTCTGAAACATTCCTTTGACTGAAGCAAATGACCCATTACCCTCCCTGCACACCCCATCAGCACAACCGGCCTCAAACCACATCTTGCGTGGCCAACCCTCCTTAACACTTCTTCTCCTTAAAAAATTCTTGCTACCTAATCTCTCAAGTGTCTGCCCTGGTGCACTCTCATTCTCTGATAGCAAATCTGGTCCATTGCTTGCTACATAACTTACATTTGTTTTCTCAAGGCAGGGAAAACAGATCAAGAAATTTGATCTGAAGTCCTGGGTTGTGTTGGTTGTTCATATATATATATATATATATATATATATATATATTCTGGACAAGCTGGGATTAGAGGCAGGAGTTACCATGCCTGATCCAGTCATCAAATGTTACTTGTTTTTAACATGGTGAAGTACAATTTAAACACATTCTAAAGAAGGGGATGGATCTTCTCAATAGAAAACATTTCACTGGTTTTATAAACATGGCAGGGCCCATACTAGGCCTGTCTCTAACCCATCCCTTCAGTGTTGAAGCAGAGTTACTGAAGTGAGCATTCAAAGTCTCCTCTGGTCTGGAGGCTGCCAAACACAGGTGCTCGTGCATCTGCTCCTCCACAGCCTCTCCCACAACATACCCGCTCTGGGAGGCCCCAACACCAAGGCTAAGTAGTCATTAGCCTGTGTGTGTCCTTCTGGGGTTTTACTGGCCGAATGCTGTCAGAAAGGTGAAGAAGAGGAATTGGGTAGAAGGAGGCAGTTTGAAGAATGAGAGAAGGAAATTTAGCTTTGAATCCGGGCTCTGATTTTAGAAATGGACTACATTTGGGGCTCCTTCGACACGTCGGTCATCTACAGAGTAGATGCCTACACTAAGCCTAAGAGCGATAGCAGTGAGCCATAGAGCCAATTGGGAGCTGCTTTATTCGCAGTAAGGCGTTATGTACACAAGCCATTTTGCTCTTCTGCTTACATCACTTTTTACCCCCTCTTGTCCCACTGTAAGCATTTCTCCTGTGAAGACTTCTCCATTGTCACAGGCCAAAAAAGGCATGTGCCTACCAACCTACTACCACATCTTTCTGCAAACAGTCAAGGGTAGGCCTGGTGGCTCACGCCTGTCACCCCAGTTACTCAGAAAGTAGAGAGCAGGAGGATCTCATTCAAGGTCAGCCCGGGGTGGGGGAGGTTCGTGAGACTCCCCCATATCAACACTCAAAGTGCTGGGTGGTGGCTTGTATCTGTAATCTCAGCTCTGCAGGAGCATCCGTAGGAGGGATGCAGTATGGGGACTCTGTCTTAAATGTTACTGAAGCAAAATAAAGAGCTGGGGTGTGGTTTGATGAGTAGAACCCCAAGGCCAGCTGCTGGCCAGGGCACTTTCTTCCCATGGTGGTGGCACCAGCGCTGGGGCCTGGCCTCGTGAGGCCAGCGTTGTCATGGCTCTCCATTCACCATGTGTCAAGCCCACAAGTTTCTCCTTGCTTGCACCCTTCTCCTTTCTCTCCTTTCTCCTTGCTTGCCCCAGTGAGACTGTTGCCAGGCTTGGGTACTGGGTGATGGTTCTCTTGCTCAGGTTTGCTTGCCCTGGGAGAGGAAGAGCCCCTAAAAGGGTGGGGGTGGGGGGGGGGTGAAGAAACAAGCCTTGTTCTAGATCACTGACAGGGCTACTGAGACGTAGGAAGCTATTTCCCTGGTGTTGGGTGGAGCCCAGTGACCGAGATTTCCACCCTTTTCTGTAGGGCAGGGTTGTGGAATGGTGGCCGAGAAGGGATTTCTGGCCTTGTTTTTGTACCACGTGTGAGATAGCCATACGGAGATGCGCAAACAAATGAAAAACAATAGAGGGAATGTACTATGAATAAAAATCAGTGCATGTAAATTTAAATAAACAAAGTTATTGGCACACAGCCTTGGCCAGTGCTTTGGTCCTTCTTCTCTGGGTGCTCAAGATGTCTAACATCACATTTGGAACAGGAATTACCATAGACTCCATAGCTCTATAAATATATATAAATAAATATATATATATATATATATATCCCCAAAGATATATATATATGTGTGTGTGTATATATACACACACACATATACACATATATAGTTTTTTTTCACTCTAACCTCTTACAAAGTGTTACAGAGAGACGAACAAGACTCCAAAGAAGGTAAAACGCAGCGCCCAGATTACAGGCGTCCACGGTGTGGCTTCTCTCCTCCATTTGGGGTTAACACGTGTACTTGTTCTTATCTTTCTCCCCAGTAACCTTCGACACCCATGTGCCACTGATCGGAGGTCGGTCCCAGCCGCGTGGGGCGCCCTGAGGCCCCCCCCCAGGTGTCCGGCATGGCCTGGGCGGCGCTGCTCCTGGGCGCGCTGCTGCTGGTGGCCCAGCCCCGGCTGGTGCCTTCGCGCCCGGCCTCTCCCGGGTTCGAGCCCAGCGATGGCGGCGGGGGGGTCGCCCCCACCAACGGCTCGGCCCGGCAGCTGCCTCACACCATCATCATCGGGGTGCGCAAGGGCGGCACGCGCGCGCTGCTGGAGATGCTCAGCCTGCACCCCGACGTGGCGGCCGCGGAGAACGAGGTGCACTTCTTCGACTGGGAGGAGCACTACAGCCAGGGCCTGGGCTGGTACCTCAGCCAGATGCCCTTGTCCCTGCCACACCAGCTCACGGTGGAGAAGACCCCGGCCTACTTCACCTCCCCCAAAGTGCCCGCGCGAGTGCACCGCATGAACCCCGCCATCCGCCTGCTGCTCATCCTGCGGGACCCCTCGGAGCGCGTGCTGTCCGACTACACGCAGGTGTTCTACAACCACCTGCAGAAGCGCAAGCCCTACCCTGCCATCGAGGAGTTCCTGGTGCGCCACGGCCGCCTCAACGTGGACTACAAGGCGCTCAACCGCAGCCTGTACCACGTGCACATGCAGAACTGGCTGCGCTTCTTCCCGCTCGGCCGCTTCCACATCGTGGACGGGGACCGCCTCATCCGGGACCCCTTCCCCGAGATCCAGAAGGTGGAGAGGTTCCTGCGCCTGGCGCCCCAGATCAACGCCTCCAACTTCTACTTCAACAAGACCAAAGGGTTCTACTGCCTGCGGGACGGGGGCCGGGACCGCTGCTTGCACGAGTCCAAGGGCCGCGCGCACCCCCAGGTGGACCCCAAACTCCTCCACAAACTGCACGAGTACTTCCACGAGCCCAATAAGAAGTTCTTCGAGCTGGTGGGCAGAACATTTGACTGGCACTGATGGGCGATCATGGTCCCAGGCAGAAACCCAGACCTGTACATCCAGAGGGGGAGGGAGAGAATTTAAAACAGAAAGAAAAAGCATTTAAGCTATAATTTATTTGTAAAAACAAATTCCATAAATTACTTCTGTACAGTATTAGATTCACAATTGCCATATATATATATAAATATAAATATACTAGTTATATTTTTCTACTTGTTAAACGGAGGGCATTTTGTATTGTTTTTTCATGGTTGTTAACGTTGTGTAATATGTTATATGAAAGAACTAAACTATTTCACTGAGAAAAAAAAAAAAGATTTTTCTGGAGATACTTTCTTTTTTTTTTTAATATAATTAACTGGCCCCCAACTCATGGTCTCTATTGTATTCATGGCGGAAAAAAAGAAAGATGATTCCTAGCGGTTACATCTTCGCTCCTTCTCCTCACCTGTCTACAATGTCCTTTTAATTTTGAGTGTCTCCCTATCATCATCAGATGTATCTCTCTTTTTTTTTACTTGCATCGTGAGAATTGTCTTCTCTTAGATTCTCTTTTGGCTGTGGGAGAGCTGTTAGTCATCCGTCTCCGTGGGGAGTTTAACCCTTGGTAAACTTGTAGTAGACATGACAGTTCACTGGTTGGAGAAGCAGGTAATAGCTTGTAGAAGGTTATTTGTGACTTGATTCTAACTTAAAAAAAAATAGGACTAGGACATATCCTTCTAGTCTCACCAAGGGGTAGAGGTTTCTACATACAAGAAATAGATTAAGCATTTGTCTTTCAGAATAGTAATGGGTCTATGGACTTTGCCCCAGGATCTCTGGAAACGCTTTTAGACTATAAAACAATGATTGCAAACTCTATGTGTGTCTCCATTCCACAGATTATGTGGAAAGCGAAACACGAGTACAATAACCTCTTGCTTACTCTGAGAGTGTTCCTTTTATCCTGAAAGATCGATCTGTGCATTTATGTGTATGTCTATACATGCCTATATGTATGTTTTATGTATATACACATGTATGGATACACACATGTATGTATAGATGTGCAACATGTACCTTCTCATATGCATTGAGACAGAAATGCAGGTTTATTTTTAAGTCACCTCCAAGTGTGGAATCCTGATTTTGAAGGACATGTTAAACTCCCAGAGATGGAAGCCGTGAAAAGGGCCAAGTTTGGGGCAAAGCTTAGAACCTTTGTACCTGCACACAAGCAGAGATTCGTGCTGACCTGGAACAGCCATGCCTCAGGGCTGCTCACATCAGCCAGTTCCCCAGCTCTCCTGCATTGCTCTACCATTCAGCCTTGAAACATTAAATAGGTGGGGTCTGGGAAGGTGGCTCAGGGGTAGAGTGCTTGCCTTGCATGCCTGAGGCCCTGGGTTCAATTCCTCATCACTACATAAGCAGAAAAACCAGGAAGTGGTGCTGTGGCTCAAGTGGTACAGTGCTAGCCTTGAGCTGAAGAGCTGAGGGACAGCGCCCAGGCCCAGAATTCAAGCCCCATGACCAACAAAATAAATAAATAGGTATTTTCTTACGAAAACAAAACATGGTCATTAAAGTAATAGAAAATACAAACAAACAAATTAATATTGTTTACTGACACAAGCTGTGCTTATGGTAGACTTGAGACACTATAGTTTGCATTCTGTACCTAGGAATTTTCCTAAGCAATTTGAGGACAAAAGACTTACTAGTTCAAAGAGTGGGAAAGAGGCCCTAGGACCTGAGGAGCCTGTGCCAGATCACACTGACTAGAGTTCAGAGTTCACATTCCATCACAGTAAAGATTACTCATTGGCCTGAGAGTTTGTTTCTTCCCAGGTGTTTCTGAGCATCCTAGGCAGAGCTCAGACTCAGACACTGTTCTTCCTGATTGACATTTTTCCCCTGGAGTCAAGAAGTCTTCTCCCTGAGCAGTGTACCTTAGAGACAGGAAGGGTAAGAAAGGGGCTGCATTTTTCTCAGCATCCTTATCAGAGATGTGTGGCTTAGCAGTTACAGCCTGACCTGACCTCCTATGTTCCACACCCTACTCCTCCAGGCTGTGCAAGATGACACCCAGAATGCCTTCCTCCTCAGAACCCACTAAGGTCATTCAACCAGAAGAGGGGTAGAAATGTTTATGGTAGACTTCCAGTGGATATGGTATTGTGCAATACGGAGCAATTCCCTCTGCAGCAGTTCAATGGATCTTGGTTTTACCCTATTCATTTAAGAGCTAAAGAATGGAAGGGCACAGAGAAGTTTAAGCGAGTTCCCAGGGCTGCCCAAGAATGTAGTGACAGAGATAAACTTACAATGACAATCTCGGAGGCCCAAGATAACAATCTGAAAGTCACCAGTGAAAGCCTGTCTTCAAGGGAGATGGTTTAGTGGGAACACAGCTTGTCACAGCTGGGTATAACTGAAGAAAGTTGGTCCAGCATTAAGGCTACAATCCAGCTGCCAGAGCTTCCAGATCAGTGTCAAATGATCACGGGATAAGTTCAATTAATTGCTAGAAGTTTAGAGTCTGGACTCAGGATAGCCATCAATGGAAACCATGGGTGACAGGCCCAGAATTTCAAGTGATGATTCTGATTCAGTCATATTTGGTGCATCCCAGCGAGTCTTTGACCAAAATATTTAGATATTTAGATATTTAGATCTCCTTTAAACACCGTCACATTAAGAGGATACTTCTGTAAACCCATGCTTATCGGGGAGGACCAAAATGTAGTGACCTAGCCAAATAGTGTTGGATCCCTCCTACACACAGCTCAGAGCAATCCTGTGAACACAGAGACAGTACCAAGCAAAGGGAGTGAGGTCCCGACCCAGCCCAGGTTCACGGGCAGCATGAGAGTCTCTGGGTGAGATTCTTCCAGAGAGACAGCTGAGAGGATCTGGGCTAAACCTCAGCCATGGGAGGAGCACATACACTTCACTTGCTGTTCCTGATTCAGGAACACAAATCAGACTGTCCCAGATGCCCATCAAACCAGCGTGGCTCTCTGCTTACGGCCCAGAGTAGGCTAGTTTGGGAGAAAGGGTGATGGGCTTTCGAGTACAAGCTGCCACCTTCTGTCCTGGGAGATCGCTGCTCTGCTGAGCAGAGATGCCGGGCAGAAGGGGACAGTGCCCAGCGTGCCTCCGGCGAGCAAAGGGCAGGGATGAGAGGCGAGCAGGATTCATTAAGATGGTATTTGTTATAGATCCCCTACTATACACCACACATCACATTAGTTTATTAAGAATATCAGAAATGCAACAGGAAGTCAAAGAAGGCAAAGGAAAAGATCTTGAGTTCAGTGCAGACTGGGCAGGGTAGTGTATTCCATAGTTGGACATTCATTCAGGCACATCCTTGGAAGGGTCACCTAGGGCTTACTTCAGCTAGCCATTAGAGTCAACTAGCTGATTCTAGAATCAACTAGAATGGTCACAGAGAAGAACATGCCCTGCCCCCAGTACACATTTTAGAAAGGAAGCAAAGCTGCTCACTCTAGGGGATAGTTGTCCAGTGAGGGGGGACATGGACATGAAATGTCACCAAGGAGAGGCGTGCCAGACATCCCACAATTTGATTTCTTAGACATAATCAAAGATGAAGAATCTTCCCAAAAGACACACAGCAGAGTTTTGACCCAAGCCACTGAAACGGTGGGCCACAGAAGGCCCATACTTTTACAAGGTTTTCAGAGGCTTAGTGAGAATTTAGACCATGGAACACAGTGATATCACCAGGGGAGGACCTTCTAGATAAAGACAACCTTAGGAGGGGCTGGGAAGGTGGCTCAGTGGTAGAGCGCTTGCCTTGCATGCCTAAGGCCCTGGGTTCGATTCCTCAGCACCACATACGCAAGAAGAAAAAAGCTGGAAGTGGTGCTGTGGCTCAAGTGGTAGAGTGTTAGCCTTGAGCTCAAGAGCTGAGGGACAGCGCCCAGGCCCAGAGTTCAGGCCCCACGACCGGACCCCCCCCCCCAAAAAAAGACAACCTTAGGAGTTATATAGAGGTGATGGAGAGAGTTGAGGAGGAAGGCAAGGAAGAGAAGAGGCCTGTCTAGTGGATGTGGGAATGGTTTAAACACATTGAAGAGCCACTACCCCAGCTCTCATCAGGAACTCGTGGCCTTGAGAGTTGCTCTAAGACAGAGGTGTTAGAAGCTCACTTAATAGGCACCTGTGCAGGTGTGTCTATTGCATAAAAATAACTATCATTTATTGCACACCCGTTATGTACTTGGTATTTTAAATCTGTTGCTTCTAACCCACATAACAATTCTGAAAAGTGGGAAATGACATACTGATTTTACAGAGGAGGAAACTCAAAACTCAGTGATTAAAGGGTTTACCTGTGCTCACAGAGTCTTTGATTTGTTCACTGGAAAATGTTCTCTATGACCCTTGCTCTGGTAATTTTTAGACATTATTTTGAGACAACCTGAGTTCAGGCTGCTGGCCTCAAACTCAGGATTTGTCTAACTCAGCCTGACCAATACCACGCTTACAATGTGGACTTTTATACCAAGCTTTCCCTTGGATGCTTTTCAATACATCTAATTGTGGGTAAGGGGAGGGATAAGTAAAGCTTGAGTGTCTGTCAAGGTGGGTGAGCCTATTAGGGAAATTATAGGCAAAATCTTGTGAAATTGGACAGACAGGGGATGCTAAGGTCACCTTCAAGAAAACAATGGCTGGGACTTGAACAAACATTCTCCAACAGTCAGAAATAAAGAAACTTGAGCTTGAGGTCAAGGCCAGCTTTTCCAGTGTGACGTAAGGACAGAGAACCACACCACCAGACTTGATGGGTGTATTTTGATAAAGGAAGCAACCCTGACCATACTATTCACTCTGATATGAGATCTTTATTCCCTTTTGCTCTAATTCTCCAGTTAGGAAAAAGGAAGGCAAAAGCAACTAGATCCAATTATAGGGCCAATGTGAACTTAGCTTCAAATTCTCATAGCCTCAGTTTCCTTTTCATTCAAAGCAAACTGATATTCAGTCTGCATAGTTGAAAAATCAACCAGATAACGTAGGTCAGAACTCTACACTCAGTGTCCATGTGGCTTAGTAGTTAAGAGGACTTTAGAGTTGTATGATAGTGCAAACCACACATTATTGCCCTCTCTCTACACATCCCTGCTATGCAATTATCACTGTGGCTGTGGGTGTCTTACCCAGATCCGTTTCCCAGGGAAGAGAGGTCCATTCTCATCTGCCACACAGGCTGCTGATGGCTCACTCTCAACCAAGTTCTGGAGGCTTTCTCCCTATAGTCATCAGGAGCTGCCTTTCTTGGGATGGCAGGCATTATAACTAATGTGTGATCAAGCTACGATAGGATGTGGCAGGGAGGGGATGTGGGCAAACATC